GGGTTAATTTGATGTCTAGATCATACGGGGAATCCTCAGCGCCATCCCATTGGTCACTGGCAAAATTGGTAAGAACCCGTATGGAAGCCACCTTTCTGTGCATCCAGAGCTGCACCATGCGCTTGGAGACCCATATGTTATGGTGTGCAAGCCGCTTCCGGACCTGGGTCAAGGGAAGCTTGGGATCCCGCTGGAGAAGGTCAAGCATGATTGGGTATGCCTCAGATATTTGTGACTCAGGAGCCTTCTTGGGTTTCTTGGCTGTCCCAATCAGATTCCCCCTGCTCATCAGGTTGTTGAATTGCCGCATGACTTTAGCTCGGGTAAATTGCAACTGGGCGGCAATATGTTCCCAGGACAGACCCTGTAGATTCAGTGCCACAATTTCCTGAAGAATTTGGGCAGTAATGATTCTGCATTTGGGACGCTGGGCCAGGGGAGCTGAAGCCTGATTGGCTGTAGGGGGGCAGGTTGGCTGGTGGCAGGAAGTTGTTCCAAATCAAGGTTGCCATCCTGATTGGTTGGTTGGTGGGCAGGTTGTGTGGGGGTAGGTACAGGAGCAGGGGCAGAGCTAGACACTAAGTGACTCTCAAACAAGTCAAAGTCATAGGGGTCGGTGGTTAGTAACAGATCAGCTTTCTTGTTACCTGCCTCAAAGGCTTGGGTGTAAACAGGTGCCTCCACATTCTGAGCCTTGCCTCCATTGAAGCTGGCTTGGCTGCTGACGCCGTCAAATATATTGCTTGTAAAAACCATTGTAAAAAACCTAGGATAAAATCACTAAAAGTAGAAATTTTAAAATTTAATGATTTATTTTTATTGTAATCTCAAGTCCATATTTGGAAGGTTCTCAAAACCTTTTCATACAAATATGGAGCCATGAAAATGGATAAAAAACCTCTATCCCTAAATTGAATAGCTGTTGATTGGTTGTTAAACTGTTATTTTTCTATTTTAGGCTGCTCATACTACACATCTTGTGTGAGTTCATTTTGTTTTGTGCTTGTGTAATCTTGCTTCTAGATTGCTCAAGTTTTGCTTTGTTTTATTTCTTCTGTTGGTGCCTCATATGAATACTGATTGGATTATAATATACTCTGGAACATCATCCATTTCACTTGTTGCGTCAGTTCATTTTGTTTGTGGTTTGAACTACACCGCTTGATGTTTGATATAATTTTGTATAACAGGCTAGTGAAATTTTGTTTTTTGTTTGACAGTCTATTTATTAACTGAAATTTTATAAATTAATTGAATCCTGAATCTTGCGCAACTTGGATTTTGTTTAAATCTGAAATCATTTTGTTTAAATCTGAGGTATTTTTAGTTGTCGCCATAGCTTTTAAAACTACTGTATAATAACTAGTTCCCAATAAAGATTATTATCTAGTTTCTCAATATTTTTCCCCTTGTAACTTTTCTAAAACAGCACAGTTACAACAACAGTCTAAATTCTGATTTTACCAATACACTTTTGGTTGCTGCAGCCTTCTTGTAGTCCAGAGTTTCCATGATAAGCTTGATAAGGGTTTCACAGGTGGAGTCTGGGATCACCTTGTGGTTAGGTTTTTTGGCGGTAGGCAACAACTCATCAGGTTCTGTCAATACAGGGAATAGGCACCTGGCTGTGAAACACAGTAATCTTTTTGAGCATCTGCTGCACCTGCACATTTTGATAATACTGTGGCTCTTTGTTGTTGTTTTTTCTTCACCATCACTCACATAAGGTTCCTGTGTTGTATTCAGAATAGGCTTTACACATTTTATAAGACTGTTAAGAATACTATCATGGAGGTACACAGGTTCATACACCAATAAAAATATCTCATCAGTTATTTTATTCACTTTTCTAGTGGTGGTGGCTTTGGTGGCCTTCTTGGAGAGCTTTGGAACTTTGGGGTTAATACTATCTTTTCTGTTGGTATGAGTGCCCTGGGTTTGTTGCTTTGTCTGTGTGGCTTGGGTTTCACTCCCTGACTCAGATCTACTCCCACCTTTCATTTCCTGGACTATGATCACTCTGTTCTTTGATCTACAAGGCTGTCCATATCTGCAGTGTACTGCTTCAGCTCTTTGACTATTTTGTTGTGAAGCTTCCATTTTAGTATAAAAATAAAATAAGATTTAAACAGTTTATCTATATTATTTATTTATTTATTTTAATTTTAACTTGTCTATATATAGTAGCATAAAATCTTTTAGTTGCTATCATCTATTCCAAATTAGATTTTAAAACTTCTATATTAATTATTTTTGGTTTTGGATGTGCATTTTAGCTGTCCATATTGTTATATTTGATTTATCCAATAATTTTCTTCTAAAAACAGACAACCAGAATATTTATTTTAATTTTCTGCTCTAGATTGTATATCTTAATTAGGATGAATTAATAAAACTATTATAGATTTAGGGATCTATTTTGATATTTGATGTTTTTGCTGTCTGTTTCAGTTGTTATGGGGGTTTATTGTTGGATTGTGCTTTTCACTTTAGTGACTGAGTTTGATGTGTTCTTAAAAAGCATAGTAATTATAGTAGCTTTGTTTTGTGACTGAAACTCATGTGTTCTAGTGCTTGGTATATTTGTTGTTGAACCATCATTTATCTTTTTGCAATATCTACAGTTACTTCCTCTCAGGGAAGTAATTCCCTGAGTGACTTACCAAATGATTCCCGGACTAATCATTAAGTTAGTGGCACTGATATCATTTGGCAATCTATTATGGGGATCAAAGATTTTGAATCCTAAGCAGAACACAACTGGGACAAGCCTCCTGACTTAAGGGGAACAATCACTTGGATAAGACCCATGACTACCATGATATACATGGACAGTGTGTGGCTTCCCATGATACTATATAATACTCTAAACTCATATCAAATAAAGTATCATTCTCTTCTTAATTTCCCCTTTATCTCGTTTATTATACTTCCCAGAAGTATATACTTGACAATCTGTTCTTGTCTTACATCATTTGTTGTGTGTCTGGGCATTTTTGCCAATTAGTGCACACCTTATATGAAATTGGCTTGTATTTCTATCAAAAAATAAATATTTTTATGTGAATAAACCAAATTGTTCTGAACTGAAACTTTTTTGTTTATTTGACAGGTTGTAAACCTACTGTAATGCAGATCATAAGCTCCAAAACAGCTTCCACCAGTAGCAAAAGTAAGGCCCCAATTCCAATAAAATTAGACCCTGTCCATTTGATCAGGATTGGGGTTAGATTTTCCCTTTTACTGATTTAATATTAAGCAACCATTGGAGAAAAACTTCCCTAATCTCATTATGAGTAACAACTAAAAATTTATCAAGAGCTTACCACATATATATTTCCCACTTAAGAAAAGGATATTATTCCATCACCTTAGTGCCCACTGTAATCCACCACACAGCTATCAGGAATACATTGTCAATACCAGACCTCTTCCTGATGTCCCTATCACATCAGACTAAATTGTTGAGTGGGGGTATTGAGGGAGTGTATTTGAACCCTTCCCTCTTTCATTTTAATTATTCTTATCTGCATAATTGCTGAAACAATAGTTATATAATATGGCAATCAGCTACACTGTCCTCAACACTTATACCTGACCCTTTATTGCTGGTAGGATAAAGCCATGAAAAATTTAGCTTAAAAGCTAAATCAATTCTTGGATAAAAACATTATTCTCTCTTTTCTTCTTACTTACCCTTCATAAGTTTCCTTGTGATTGGGGTTTGATAGATCAACTCAGGCATTCACACCTGTCACATTATGCAATAATGGGCTTGGGAATGCTGGGGATGCATTTAAAATACTCTTGCAGTTGGCTAGAGGGTAATTGAATTATGAGTCAAAGAATTGGGTGTGGATGAGAAAATATGATACAAAAGTTGACTTTACCCCAATAAAGCATTATATTTGGTCCAAACTTGGTGTAATTAATGAGAAATGCAACTGGGAGCTGAGTTTGGCCTCTTCTGACCTAGAAAATAAATAAAATACATCTAATTGGTAAGAAATTAGCTGGGAAGTTGGGGATAAGTCTAGAATCAACCTGGTAACTATCAGCTCCTCAGTTCTCCCTGGTATTGGGGGAATGGTTCAATAATTCTGATACTAAACCCCATCAGCTCTAATTCAAACTGTTGCATCTAATGGCCAGTCTAAAAGATTCCTGTCAACCATTACCAAGTTAAATATCATGGGTCAATCCAGCTTCTTGCCAATAATTAGACAAAAACTTTCGCGATAGGTATAGCAGAAAGAGATAGAGCTTCTTTATGCTGATTTTTGTTTCAATAAACTTTAGTATATATACCCACTCCTGTATATTGAGTAAAAGAAAATTTGAGTTCACATTTATTATTATTGGTTACAAGAAAGCTCATTTAATGGAATATACATGTACAATTTAAAGATTAAATCATCTCTTTCCAGTTATGTAGGGCTTTCTTTATCTAGTACCTATAGTTTAACCCTCGCTTAAACACACATCTTATTAACCATCATGTTATTGGCATGATGCATTACAACTTTTGGTATAACCTGTCACTCTGGGTAAAAAAGGAGCCTCTCTTCTACCACTTCTCATCATGGCTATAACAAGGTAGGATTTACATTTTGATCATATTGGGGCTCACCAAATAGATGGCTATCCATATGATGTCTATCCACTCCTGGGCCACTGTGCTAGTTATGTACCAATGTTTTTAAATTCTCCTGGATTATCTATAGGCCATAGAAATAATAAATATATACTTTAGCAAAGCTTCCTTATCCAGAGAGATGTTATTCTTATTCGAAATTGATTTCATTATTGAATGATGTATACCTTGATTGATTTTGACAAAAAGGCAAGATTGAAGTAAACAATGCTTTTAGTTTAAAAGTATGGCATAAACCAACTCAGCTGCTGAGTTCAAAAAAGGGTTGGGGTTCTAGGATTGGACAAACCGGTCTGGACAAACTTTAGAGCTCTTTTTACCAAGCTTAGGGTAAAATTGAAAAAAATAGCAAAAGTAGGTTTTGATCTTACAACCTTGGGGTTATGAGCCCCACGCGCTTCCCCTGTGCCACCTTTTTTTTGTTAAATCCATCTTTATTGGGAAAAAAAATTCTTATGAAGAAGTGTTATGGGGGACATCCTACGACTCGCCCGGAAATTTAAAGCTCCATTTTTATAGGTCCTGGGCTGACCTTATGTCTGACCACTATTGGGGGGTTATTCTATGTGACAGTTTGTCCACATCTATGTATTTTGATGATGCAATGACAGTGTCCCAGTTGGTTTTCTTCCCTGGTATTAGGTCTCCAAATTTGCTGATTTGTTCAATTGTTTTAGCTACTGTCTTTTTCCATCTGGATGTTGCCATTTCCACGTTGATTGGGATCTGGTCTATCACAAATGTCCGCCGTTTGCTGTGGATCTGATGTAGGGTCAAATGATAGTAATTGGTTCTCAGTTGTTGGAGTGCGTTCTTCATGCTTTCGCTAAAGAACACATTTTTTCCTGGGTTCACTAAGAATCTACATGATGCCCAAATTTATTCCTGTATTCTGCTCCATATTGCTGCGCTTTTAGGGCATTCGAAGTATCAATGTGATATGCCTGCCACCTCTACTCCGCATATCTTACAGTCCTTGTACGGATATGTGTCTCTGCTGTGAGTCACTGAGCGGTATGCTCTATTAAGTATTCTCCATGTCACTGCTCGTATCTTTATCGGGACCAACTTACAGTTCATGGCTGTCATTATCCCTCTTGGCTTCATTCTTATCGGGATACTTTCTATCATTCAGTCTTTTATCAGGCGTGGGAATTGGGGGCATACATTCCTCTTGTGGAGTTTTGCGTAATTTTCCGTTGAGCTCTTATATCATTGTATCTGACCGGGTATTTTGTGTCTGCTATCTTTATGAAGAGTTTGCTTTTATCCTCTGGTACACACTCTTTCCACATTTGTTCCTGCATCTCCGTTGAGGTTAGAGGATCTGTTTTGTCCGGGGGTCATATGCTCCACTTCGCTAGTCATAAAGCTCTCATGCATTCTCTCCAGTATTTTGGGGCACCTCTTGGTCCATACACTTGTGGGTGTTTGAAAAGGTATTCTCTAAGCGAATTGGTGTGGGTTGGGGAGACTTTGTCCAGGATTTTCATCCAGTTTGTCGCTTGTCCCCGTGCTGGGCTTCGGCATGTGGATTTCATGCATCTGAGGAATGATTTCTCCCATAGTTTTCTTGCATTCTCTGCAATTGGGAGTAGTCCCATCCTGCCTTCCTTAGATCGGCATGTGATTGCTTCTAATGCTATTGGTGCCACATTCGGTTTACCTCATAGATATGTGCGGGTAATAGTGTCAACTTTCTTTTCGAAGTTCTTAGAGAACAGGACTATGTGGGCTATGTATCATAGTTTGGAATATACAAATATATTCAGTGCTTGGGCTTTTGAGGCAATATCCAATTTTTTGTATCACTATCTTCCGATCCTGTTGACTAGGTCTGATAGTATGTTTTGTTTCATATGACCTACTGCTAAGTCTGTAGATGTAAAGTATATCTCTAAATGTCTGAAAGAAGTTTCCTCTGTGATGGGATTCATACCTGTTGGTGGAGGGAACATCAGATTGCCAATCTTTACTGTCACTGTCTTATCCACATTTAACTTGGTGTTTGATACTTTCTGGTACCAATATGTGATTCTTAGGAACCTTTCGCTGTCTTTTATATCTGTGATGCTGCAGACTGTATCATCTGCAAATGCGCAAGTTTTTAAGGGCCATTGTCCCGGGCAGCAAATGCCAGTTAGTGATACCTGACATGCGGTGAGGTAAATATTTGACACAAAGTTAAATACTAAAGGTGACATTGGATCCCCTTAGTGTAGCCCTTGATTGACCTTAAAGCTCTCGGTAAGTTCCCCGTTCACTATAACCTTTGCTTCCAGGTTGGAATATAGTGTCATAATCTACCTCCCAAATGTTGGCGGGAAGCCCACTTTCTCCAGTGCTCTGAGAAGGAAGGACCAGGCCACTCTATTGTATGCTTTCTCCATATCTAGGAATAGAAGGTAACCTTGGGCTTGTTTTGACAGGTCCTGTATGATGTTCTGGACTGTCTCTATATTGTCCCAGATGGACTGGTTTCTTACAAACCCATGTTGTGACGGGTGTAGTATCCTTTCTGCTACTTCCATCACCCTAATAGATAGAATTCTTGTTAGGATCTTGTAGTCTGCATTGAATAGGCTTATCGGGTGCCAGTTTTTAAGCTGTTGCTAAGATCCTTTCTTGAATAGCATACAAATCTTCACTTTATTGCCTCCATGAAGTTGCGTATTGATATCCAGGCACCAATTAAACATTTTAACCATTGGCCCTACTATGTGGGCTTTTAGATTATTGTACACTTTCGCCTGGATGTTATCAGGGCCAGGGGATTTCCCTTTTGGTGATTATTTTAGTGCTTGGCGTACTTCTTTATCTGTTATGGGCATACATAAGGAATCAGATTCTTTTATTGTACATTTTTTTATTCCGCTATGTGCCATCTTTAATATTTTTTGCTAGCCTCTTGGTCTGTTACCGTAAAGGTGTACAATTTTTTATAAAATTTCCGGACTTCCTCTCTGATCTCGTGTGGTGTGGTCTTAATGTCACCGTCTTTTCCTTATACTTCTGTCAATGCCATCCGGTTCTTTGAAAATTTAAAGTGTTCCAGGGCTTTGCGGGAGGAAGTCCCCATCGTGCATTGAAATTTATGTGAGGCATTAATCCTGACTCTATTATCTTCTTTTCTTTGGATCTCTTTGATCTCTTTTTGTATTTTATTATATCTTTCGTATTTTTTATTATCAGGCATTGAACTATTATTAATCTTTTCTGTACTTTTTTCTAGTTCATTCATTTTTATCCTGTTTATATTCTTTTTACCTTTTTCATATTCTTTACTTACTATCATTATTATTCTTTTTATCTCACTCCAAGCCTGTACTGGGTCCAGGTTCTTCTTTTCTATAGTTATTATTAGGCGGTGTATCCTTTTGTATATCACTGCTTTCCACATTGGGTCTCTAAGCAGTGTCGGGCTCATAGTTCATTCTCGCCTAGGTTTTTGTCTTTCCTCTATGTTTACCTCTACTAGCATATATCACTGAGTCTGGATACTCTTACCCAAGACCTTGACGTGTTATCCGCAAGATCCCCTGATACCAGTATGAAGTCTAGCCTGGATCCTTTTGTCATGTTTCCTTCTACGTCGTACTCCCATTGCGTGAGCGTTCCTGGGCCTTCTGTTTTATCGTCCAACGTAAATGTTAAACCCTTTGATGCCATCAGTGCTAGCATTTGGTCTACTCTCCGGTGTTTCTTTGTGCTGGTCAGGTATGTGTCTCTAAGAGTATCCGCCCAGGTATTAAAGTCCCCTCCTATGATGGTGTTTACAGTGACTTCGATTTTTTCTAGCTCAGTCCATTGTTCATGGCTTGAGTGTGTCGGTGAGATGTAGACCCCTATCACCTTGTACACTGTGTTGTTTCTTCTATTTGTTGCTTCTATTTCAATGATGCGTTTGTCTGCATATGTTCCTATCAGTTTGATCTCTATATCTTTAGATAGAGCTACTATAGCCACATATTTCCCCCAGAACGCTTGCACATTAGACTGGATAGAGAAAGGATGGTTGTTGGGATCTGCATCTATGGGAGGTGGTTTAAAAGTAGGGTTAGGGTTGTTTAATTGGGTTTCGGTTATGATAATTAGGTCTAGATTATATTTTTTAAGGTGGCGCATCTTACTTGCCCTGGTATGCCAGTTGTGTATCCCGTGGGCGTTGATTGTTCCTACCCGCATTAATCCTGGTTGCCCGACTCACAGGTGTGAGGATTAGATTGTTTTTTTTGAGTGTTCTTGGCGCGGTTATGAGTTGGGTTCCAGAAGCTCCCTCGAACTTCTGGGTTTGTACCTATTTGGAAGGACGCAAATTCTTCCGGAGAAGTCAGTTGTCATCCCTTTTTCTATATTTTCTGGTATGAGAATGGGGTTTCCTTTTCTCTTGCGGGTAGTCTGTTTTGCCGGATCCTTTTTGGTTTGTGTCCCTTCTCCTGTTTCCATAGGCGGTTGGGGATTAGGTGGTTTTGTGTTTTGCTTAGGCTTTGTTTTGGGTGGTGTTTGTGGTTTCTTTTTTTGATGTACTTCCCTCCATTCATCCATGCTTGGATGGTACATGTATGGGTTATGGTCCTCTTCCACATCAATTCTTTTCTCTGTCGGTTCTGTTGGATCGAAGTGTGCCTCCACTTCAAAGTCCCGGTTTCTTTCTTCTTCGCGTGCCCTGTCAGCCCTGTGTCTGGACTGCAGGCGTTGTTGGATCGCTATCATTTCGATAGGTCCCACCACATTCTCCGAGAGCCATAGTGCCGGACGAGGTCTCATAAACACTTTTGTTCTTACCTTTGTTATACCACGTTCTGTGTCATATTCATATTCTCTTGGATGACACAATTCCCGGCGATGGCACTGGGGGAGTGTGTAGCCCGGTTGGTAACAGAATCTGCACACTTGGTGTTCATATTCCGGTTCCACATATACCACATGTTTCTTGCATCCTGGGAGTGTGATGAAGCAGGGAATGTGATGGCCCCTCTTTTTAAGAGTTGGGGCTAGTTCTACCAAGAAGTGAATAGCATTTGGGAGCATGATGCAGGCTTTATTTCCTCCCTCTTCTCTTGCTTCTATTACTTCTCTGTAATATGAAAAACCTGTAATAAGTGCTTCTCTAGTCCACTGTATACTTTTGTCTATAGGAAGGTTCACGAACGTTATCCATTTCACAGTTGAGTTTGCGTAACGTGTAGGTTCCGTTAGAAGGGTGTACCCTTGGTATATAAAGTCGATGTCCAGGGCTTCATCTCTTAGTTGTTCTGTTGGGATCCTATGTCCAAGAAGCCTTGATCTGTTGTCCACATCTGTCCCACCTGTATAGTCAGGAAGGTTGCATCTAGTTTGTCATATATGTATTGTACACATTTGGAGATTGTTCCTTTTTCAAGTTTAAGATGTGTACTCGCATGGCATGGTTAACCT